TAAAATAAAAGTTTCAGCAGTCGAAGCAGAACCAGCAAAGTGCTTCATAATTAGAAAACGGCTCATAATTACAGCGTGGTCACGGGCTGTTAGCTCGCTCACTCAGCTGCCCTGCGTGGGATGGTGGCCTCCCATGATGTGCGTTTGTGTGTCAGCCTCCCTCAGAGAGGTCAGGCTGAAGCTGAGAAGGATAGCAGATGCGCTACCCCACACTTCCTATACACCAGCTGGGTGCTCTGCCAAAACAATGTAAACCTCACTCAAGGAACGACAAACATGTACATTTGGGAATATTTTGATCACACCGCTGCTTCTTCTTCAGGTGCACTGAGCAAACTATTCTTTCGCAAATGTTTGTAGAAGCAGTCTGCATGCCTATGTGCTGATTTTGTACACTTTCCATGGCCACCACGGAAGTGATTGGAACACCTGAATTCAATCATTTGAATGAGTGAGTGAATACTTTGGGCAATACATTGCCTTTCCCTATTCCTATGAAAATAGGCTCTAACTCTTCCACAGCTCTGAATTGGATCAGCAAAATGGATAAATGATGTGAAAAGATGAGGAAAAAGAGGAGACAAAACACTGGTTGGAGCACCAGTATTAGTTTAATGTAACCCATATGGGATGAGGCTATTACAGACACTCAGGTTTGAATCCTCTAATTAGCAACAATTAACACAACCTGTGTTTTCTAGTGTCTAATTCAAAAAATTGGAGATCACAAGGTAACCCGACAGAAATCAAATTATTAATCTGGGTGTTTCCTAAAATTGTAAAAGTGAATTTCTATTTTCTTTGTAACGCCATCTTAACTTACATTTTTTTTCTACCTGTGCTGAATATATCCAAATAATTATTTTTATTATTCGAATATATTCAGGAGATCAAGTTTGGAATGAACTGAGTGACTGAGTTAGATTCCCGTTTGGCCTTTTTAAATGTTGTGAAATATTACATGGGCTGCTGCCATGTGAGCCGTTTACCTACATCGCTTGCCAGAAGGATGCAGACGGCGCCTTCTCGGTCTCCACGGCCACCCCCCGCATGAACGCTGGTTTCTGCGTCTGCCATTTGGCCTCCATCCCCTCCCATGACACCTGAGCATGTTAGTGACAATGGCCACAGGAGTGGAAAGTGGACATCTGGTGCACCTGTCCAGCACACACTCATACAGACTCCACAGCTCTCACAACTCCCGCTTCAGAGAGTGCACACTCAGGGTGTGTTTGTGTGTGATGATTTGGCGGTCATGCGTGGTGAAGCTAGGGATCATTGAGACCTGACTACTGGCTCGCCAACCAACTGGCCGACCATATGGATAGAAACTACTGCCCTCCTCTCGGCTCTCGCTCCTTCTTTTCGCCTCTTCAGCCCCGCCCAGCCTGCCTCTCGCCACGCTCCCCACCTGCCCAAGTATTCCTCCTTGCAGTAGCGCTCCTGCTGACTTGCTCATTCTTTTTAATGAATCATTGGGTTCACCTGCACCAGAGTGGAAATTCCACCCTCGTCATCCCCCATGTGTCACACTGGATTTTATTTCCTGCTCCTCGTGGAGATTTAGAGGGACAGGCAGGCGCGTGATGCATGGAAACTATTAGATGACATGAGATTTTAATCATTCCCTTGCTGAAGTGGGGGTGTTGCTTTAACAAATGATAATGTAGGGGAGAATAGAGTTTCAAAGATTTTTAAAAAGCTGTCAATTTTGATTTCTTTTTAAAGAATGCTGGCCCAGCAACACTGCTGACCCACTGAACCACAGTTCTTAACAGCAACTACTACGTTAGCTTTTCTCATGAAGTAGATCTTTAAGTATATACTTTTTATCTCTTTATTGAAAAAATAAAGTTGTTCAAGAAGACTTTTTTACTAGACATATCACTAATAGTAGTGCTGTCAGTGTTAATCTCGTTAAAATGACGTTAACGCCATAACCGCATTAACGTGGTTCGCACCGTGCGTGAGGCTGCATGGTGTCAATGTGTTAGCACGGTTAAGGCGCGCTAACGGAGATTTGCCACGTTAATGCGGTTATGGCATTAACGTGGCAGCATTAGTAATTACAAAAAACAGTTATTTGTTTATTATTATCAACTAAAGGGAAAAACCAGTGCTTTTTAATGGCGAATTAAACGGCGATGAACAAAACTTATTTATATTTTCTGTAAAGGTTGTCCTGTCCTCATGCAAACTTTATTCTGTGCCTACAAAAATACTTCTTATTATTAAGGCTTAGGTTAGTGTGGATGGCAATACAGTCATGTGAAAAAGAAAGTTTTCACAGGACTGTGCAATGCTGTGAAAAAGTACATCCCATGTGTCAGTAGCTTGTAGAGCCACCACTAGCTGCAATTATTTTCTGTTTATCTTTATCAGTCTCTCACATTGTTGAGAGGAAATTTTCTCCCACTCTTTTTGTGGCTTGCAGGCGTTCATGCATAGATTGATATCAGCATTTCGGGTTAAGGTCTAAACACTGGCTGGGCCATTGCAACATCTTGATTCAGCCATTCTGTTATAAATTTGCTAGTGGGCTTTAGGATCATCGTCCTGCTGCGTGACCTAATTTCACTCGAGCCTTCGGTGTTGGAAAGATAGTTTCACATTGAACTTTATAATATGTTGGTTAACAGAGGAATTAATCTTTGACTCAATGACTGGAAGGTGACCACATCATCAGAAACATCTTCACTTTACCTTCTAATATGCTATAGCAAATTAAGGCCAACTCTTGACACTTCCTCTACTCAGGCCAAACAATTTTAATCCGTTTCAGAGCTAAGGATATATATTGACTCTCAAAAGTAAAGAAAAAAAGATGAACAAACTTTGGATTAAAAGACTGCACACGGTGCTATATATAGCTACTGTATATTGCAAAGTCCCTGCCAGAGCTCAGCTTTCGTAATGCTTACATATGTGTTTTAGAAAATCTCTCTCGCTATACTGCAGCAAGGATGAAAGGCCTAGAAGCAGTTTGATCTGGACAGGTCAATAACGCTGCTGTTTGGGAAGTGATGGAGAATAAATACTATATCAAAGTAAAAGTAAATGCTAATAAGTCAATATTATTAACTACCTAACATTTACTTATTAAACCCAATAGTTTTACTGAATATCTAATGAGTTTAACATAATTAAGCGATCCAAAAATGGACAGCTTGGGTTGCTGTGGAGGAATTGTACGTAGTGTTGCCAACTTAGCAACTTTCTCGCTATTTTCAGCAAGTTTTCAGACCCCCTTAGCGACTTTTTTTCTAAAAAGCGACTAATCTGGCAAACCTTTGCTGGTGTTATTGGAGACTTATGATGACTTTTTGACGTAAAAGCACGTATTGCTCTTACTCTTAGCAGGCAGCGGGTGCTGCCGTGGGCACCTCGCCCGTGCCAAGGTGCGGATAGTCCTCACGCAGCAGTGTTAGAGCAGATGTTCATACCTATGCGACCAAATTGCAAATGGATCGCACATGTGTGAAGCCGTTGCTCCTGCCCTGACTGTAACGCAGTCAGTTTTTGTTTTACTGCTACTTTTTGTGGATCACAAGGTTTAAAACTAAAAAATACACACACAAAAGTAACTCTGCCAAAGTTCCTTTTTGGGGTCACTTTTGAAGGTCCCAAGCCCAGATAAAGGAGGTGGGCTGAAGTTGTGACATTAAAAAAAACCCCAATAATTGCTAAAAGAAATTTAATTTGTAGTTCTAAATATATTCTAAATGCATTTAGGGTGTTTTTTTTACTGTCTTTACATCCCTTCCCAGATGTTATTTCTCTCTCCTACAACTAGGTTACAAATACATAAGCATAAGCATGCAAATTAGGCAATGACACCATTTAGTGACTTCTAGCCAGCCAATAGCGATTTTCCTTACTGAGGAGTTGGCAAAACTGATTGTATAGACCTTAATCTTTGCTAGCAGCTGTGAACAAACTGGGTGGCTAGATCACTCAATTCAACAAGTATCCAGTATTTGAGCTAAATTAACCAAGTGAAAGGCAACTTGACTGAAAATATCATATGAACTTTAAAACAGTCACGCTAACAATCATGCTAATGTCGCACCATTAGCCAGGCTGCCGGTTGCTAACACACACTCACTCTAGCCCTGCTATGGACTTCATCTGTGCTGTGTATAAAACAACAGGCTGTTAAAAGCTAAAAGCTACTAAATGTACCTGGGGGTAACTGTAAAGTCTCAGTGCATTTATTAGAAGTGATAATACACGTTATTTGGTGTATTGCTACTCTAAAAATGTTCAATAGCACATCTTTAGATGACTTGTTAAAACACTGAGCACAGCAAAAAAGAAGCTAGCTTTGTTTTTGGCTCATGCTAGCTTCAGACATTGCTTTATATTTAGGCTACCTTTCATCTCCCTTTCTAAGAGATAAATAATCAATAATCAGATAGCCCTGCGATGAATGAGTGGAGATGAATGAGATCGATAATAAAGTTAGAAAATGTTATAGTTTCATAAAGTTTAACACAAACAGCTCCCATTGCATTAGCATCTGATTTCTATCCTCTGCCGCTGTGCTCTGTCTCACACAGCAAAATTTCACCATGTTATTGATTAAAAATCCTGGTGGTGTATGATGAGCTGGCTAAATCTAATAAGCCCAACACAAAAATATTGCATTCACATCAAAGAAAACCAAGCCGTGGATAACAATACTTCTCTCCTCATCTCCATGCACCCCTCTGTGCCGGTAGGCCTCCATAAATCTCTACCACAGTCCTCCCAGTGATTTCTCTGCCCTTTTTATGACAAAGGTAACAATTAGTGTGAGTCCCAGTCAGCAGTGCTGCCTTCATACTTTGCTATCACATCACCCTGAACCTATTCCCAGGCTGCACTCACACGGCTTTGGCACAATGCTATTACTGAGGCCAGCCCATAGGAAATAGACTGAGAAGAGAGCTTATTGATTGTCTCTGTGTGAGAGCTCGTTGATTTTCTCTCTCACCTGTATCACCTACCTCTCTCTCTCTCTCTCCTCCCTTCATGTCTGTTGCTTTCTCTCTTCTTTCTCCTCACTGCATCACAATCCAAGGTTGCACCTGAGAGGAAAATCAGCCCACAATCATCCAGAAATACACACAAAAACGAAACTATCGCATTGCATCCAGCTATAGCATTTTTTTTCCGCCAGGTGCATGCATGCAAAGACACCTGCATCCGAGTGTATACGCTTTTTCTTTTCTAGTGCGTAACCTTTTTCGCGGTAGAGCGAAGGAATGTGTGCATGCGTGAAATGATGAGATCAAACCAGCAGTAATGCTCTGCTTGCTATCATTATTAAACCTTTTGATAAGAGTGAGTGTGTGTAGGGGGGAGATGGAAAGGCTGAGAGAAAAGGGGGAAAAAATCGAAGCCATTAGGCCTCTCCAACACTTTACCCTGTAGTACTCTGGCTGTATCTTTTTCACGTGGGGAGAAGCTTTTTTGGCTTTGGCTGTGAAAAGAGAGTCAATTTATTATCTGCCCTTTCCCAACTAATTCTATTTCAGTGCTCACTAACACACCATTGTTTGATTTACAAGAGGCCATTTAATATTCATACGTGCCCGGGAGACATCAGACAAGCTCTAGAGAGACAGCTGGAGATTTACTGGCTTTTTTTTTTTTTTGCCATTTCTTGCTCGTGTCTATTTGTGATGGAATCGTGGAAACATAAACTTGTTTCATCTGATTCCGATACGGTCGTCATTCGCAACTCAATCTCCGTTCATTCTTTTATTTTCGTCTCTCTCTCTCTCTCTGCTTACATCTATTTCTGCCTTTCAGGTTCTGTTTTCCCTTCCTGTGTGTTATCTGAAGCTTTTCTGAGCCACAAGTACAGAAACATATCGCTGATGATGAGATGGGGTCCTTCTACCGCTCCGGCAGGCGTCGTGACACATGCCCTGACTTTTAATGACCTGCCCGCTCCTTCAGGGGAGCGCACGGGGAACAGACTGGAATCCAAAGAAAATCCAGTATTTCTGAATGTCATCAAAACTAAACAGCAAAATCCTTTAAGGTCTTTAAAATAAATGTTAAAAAAAAAAAGAAAAAGGAATGTATGTCAAGCCCAAGAGAAGCAGCTGTGAATGTTGAAGAGGTATCTATGCGTTTTACGCTAGAAAGGGAGTAATGGCGGGCGTTCGTTTGAGTGCAACCATGAGGCTTCTCCTCAGTGTGCATCTGCCTCAAAGGTGGAGCATGTTTCAGATTGGTTGGTGGTTTGAGGCCCAGATTCAACACTTCTTGTTTGCAGTGGCAGCAAGCACAACCTTTTTCTGTGACAGATCCTTATCCACACATGCCCTAACACATAGACATACATCGACACCTACATACGGGACTTTGAGAAGCTGAACTTGTGTGCACCATCATCTGCACTCTCCGCTGGTTTTGCGTGAGTGTGTATTTATATTGTGAATTTGTGTGTGTGTATTCGTGAACATTTCTCTTTGAATCTTTGTGTGTTCGCGAATCCTGTCTGGCTGCATAGAGGGGCTGAGGTGAGTGATTGCCTTGTTTCTGTGGGCGGCAAGCTGTGGCGGTTTGCTCTCACTGTAAATTTAGAAGAATTCTTAATGGAACTCCAGAGCTGTCAGGCCTCAAAGTGTTGTACCTTTTTTTCCCCCCAATGAAAAGAGCGATGACTAGATCCTCCGTATACAACCCGATTCTGAAAGTCAGAAGAAGACATCAGTTAATGCATATGTGTTGTGGAAAAAAATACCACAGTGCTCTTAAACAAATGCGTTTTTGCTGAATAAATTCTGCTGTAAACTGCATAATTGAAGCAATGGGAGGTGGGAAAATAGCCCACAGTTTTTTAGTCTCATACTCTTTAACCATCAGTAAGCGCACAGTAATTAAATAGATTAAGTGATGCAACTTAATCTATTTAAATTTAAAAATATTCTTTTTTCCATTTTCTGACTTTTTGAGTTATTGATCGTTTTTGATTAAATAAACTACTTAAAAGCATAACATCATTCTACTTAATTCTGTTGTTTCAGCATTAATGTGTGTGATCAGTAACATTTAAGTGCTTGTAGTGAAGAGTAATGGGAAAACAGCTTTATATGAGAACTGTCAGGATAAGAAGTGGTTGCATCAAAGATGGGGACCACTCGCAGTCAGTTCTCCATCTTTCAAGTGAATTTAGTGCGTCAAGATAGCAATAATACGGCAATAAGAAGCAGTCAGTCTGCTATCAGTCTGAATGAATAGGGTGAAGCTGCATATTATATCGCGCTAATACAAAAGTTGACTGTGATAAACTGGTGAAAATCGCAAATCTGTTGTTGTTCATACAAAGAAAGTTCAGCAAGAACCTCGTAGATCTGAAATATAAATTCAGACATTTCTCCACAAATAGTGACGCAGCTGCTTCAGGACAGCAACCTTGCTTTTATGTTTGAATATAACTAGAATGCAACCAGTTGGCAGCCAGCTGAGTCAAATCCCCAATGGCAAAGAAACAAGTCACAAATGATAACCGCAAACGGACTTGCGCAATCCATGTTCATAAATTACATGGCAGTCATTTGCAAACCTTCGCCAGTCAGTCAGACTTGGACTGCAGTTGTTTGTAGACGGGTTACTTTGCAATCAAAAGTGGGCAGCCAAAGCTGAGGGTGTTGCATGCTAAACTTCTGGAAGTCCCCCACATTTGGTGAAAGATCACAGATACTTGCAATCAGTCCCACAATGTGAAAAAATTGAACACAATCACTAGTGTTTTAGTTGCGTGGGGGTTGCTGTCTTATTTTTACCCTAGGACAGGGGTGTCCAACTCCAGGCCTCAAGGGCCAGTGTCCTGCAGGTTTAGACGTGCCCTTGATCCAACACAGCTGATTTAAATGGTTAAATGACCTCCTCAACATGTCTTCAAGTTTTCCAGATTGCTGGTAATGAACTAATCATTTGATTCAGGTGTGTTGACCCAGAATGTTATCCAAAACCTGCAGGACACCGGCCCTTGAGGCCTGGAGTTGGACACCCCTGCCCTAGTGTGACCGAGCAGTTACTGAGGTATTGATTTAAAGTTAAGTTGCATATGTTGCCTTCTATTAGAACAGCAAAGCTATGACACCATGAGTGCACTGGGTCACTGGTGCACAGAGCTGATGAATTGCCCCATCTTAAAATCTGATAAGATAACCTTTATTAGTCCCACACGTGGGAAATTTGTTTTGTTATAGCAGAAAGTGGACAGTGCAAAGTTACATAGCAAAAATGAGAAAAACACTGGAATAGGATAAGATGATGAGAATAAGAATAAGATACTGTACACAACTGAATAGAATAAATAAAAATGATGACATAGGAAGCTTATTGTGATGAATGATCAATTGGCATAAAAACTCATTTCAAAAGTAATAAATAAACAATTCAGATTAAACATCAGAATCTGTAATTATCTATAACTCCATCCATTCATTTAATTAACTGCTTATTCATTTCACAGTTGCAAAGGTTTGGAGCCTACATATGATGGCTGCAGTTACAGCCACACAATGGTAATAGTGTTACAATAGAGGTTTAAATATAACACTACATTTACATTTTTCTTTCTTTAGATATAGGATTTAATTTACAGGATAATAAAGAACTGGTTTTGGTTTAGAATTAATTCATTTATACAATACATAATATCGTATTCAAAAATAAGTGCTCACATTTTAGTTTACAGTGTTATGTATGATTTAATCTTCTTGTTTTCTGAGTTACCTCAGTGGCAGCTGCTCCAGTGTCTTGGTTGATGAGCTAAGAGGTGGAAAAGGGGCGGAGCAAGCCTATATGGAGAACTGCAAATTGGGTCATACCAATACTCTGGATCATGGGGGGGGGGGGATGGAATTTGTTATGTTAGTTTCAGTTGGGTATTTGTGCGTTTTTGTGAGCTGATCAGCCACTATTTATGTTTCCCCTTTGTCTTATTCAGGTAGGCTGGTTTCTTTGAGTTAGTAGTATTGTTTGCTGTCAGCTTTTCAGTCAGTTTAACCAAGTTTGTTTTGCGGTTAAATAAAAAGCCTTTTTTTTTAAACTTTAACCTGCGTCTGATGTTCCTTCACTGCTCGATCCACTACACACTTACAACTAATGTAGAATTGCCTAGTATGTATTTGTGTGGACTGTAGGAAGAAACCCACCCAGGCACAGGGAGAACATGCCAACTCCATTATTAAAAATAAGTACGTACAAAAATAAAAGAATACTACTCCTTCTTTACACTCTATTCTCTTCTCTGTGAAGAAGATCGTCTGATCAAGTGTGTCCATCTGTTCATCAACAGTCCTTCAAGTAAGGAAGTCAGTACGAATAACGATCGCTCCCAGCAGAAATAAGCTCACTACAAGAATTTTTGCAGGATGGAGCCTAACCAAGCCTTCATGACAGGCAGGGCACACCCTGGACAGCCTTAAACTAAAAGGCACGCAACTAGGACAGCCGGGATAGGCTCCAGCTCCCTGCAAGAGGAGGAAAATGATGAAGAAAATGACGGCCAGATGGATGTACAAGAATTCTCTAGAAACCCCCAAAAAAGTTTTTTGTCTGCTCACAGTAAACTTTTATTTGTCTTTGATAGGATGTGGACTTTTCAAGCAGTGACTGTTTTTGAAGCTTTTCACTTACCCTGTCTTGGTGTTCCTAATTGGTCAGTTGATTAGTTGCTCTTTCAAGATATGCTCATACCAGTGGCTGAAATACCCAAAATACCCATCGTTTCAGGAACCATAATGAAAATATCCCCTCATTAACTGTTTGATGCAGATGGAAAACATTGCTTAACATGGCACCCATATTGAGATCTGTTGACCTGTCAAGGCCAGAGTATCCGAATCACATGCTTTTCATACTTTCAGAGATCTATCAGGCCCTTGCGTGGACACATCCGCACTCACCCCGTGCTGCTCTTTGTGTTATCCTGGACATAAAGACGATTATTTTAAGAAGTAGCGAAGAAATGATGTAGGAAGGAAGGAACAGAGACATGACGGGCGATTAAAAACAGCGCCGCAGATGACTTTTTGATAGTGTGCGTGGAGCAGGGAGGCGACAGCCAAGATGGATATTTGATTGGCTAATGCGTCGAGGCGGGTTGCCACAGAGGGCATCCCGTTCTGGTCCCGCTCGCTCGCCCGCTCTCCCTTTCTCTTTTCGCTCGCCCTCTCGTTTTCTCTCAGCCCTGACGGAACAAGACCACCCATTGGGGACGTCTCTGATCAATGCAGTCATTATCCTTTCTGCACGCACACACACACACACACACACACACACACACACAGACGTAGAGGACAAATGAGGAAGAGATGTGCTATGACTAGGTCAGAGCAGCAGCAAATTTAAATGTGTCCAGTGAAATATGCTGGAGAATGTCGCACCATTAGCCAGCCTGCCGAGCGAGCCGACTCTCTGGCCTCAGGTGCAATAACAAGTGGAGATTTAGGTTTGCCTTTCTTCTTGGCTTGCTCTCTTCTTGTTTTTCCCTTACTGTGGCTTCTTATCCTTCTTTCATTTGTTCTTGGACAAAACAATTTGATTCTCACTTCCTGTGTGTACCTTTGTACATGTATTGACATATTTTCATGTACCTGTTACCCACATATGATTTAATCTCTACCAGTGTGTGTGTGTCTGTGTGTGTGTTCCCATCTGTACATATGCCGAGCGCGCTCAGTCCCAGAGGAATAGCAGCGATCAGAGTAGAGCAGTGTAATGATTCCTGTCTGTTAGCTCTGCACCACCTGTATGCACACCAGTGTTTGCCGACTCGACATAGCTGTTTGCCGTTTCTTAATGGCTTCGCCCAGCGGCAATACTCTGGGAGTTTAACAACAGCGAGCGGGGGAGAGAGTAAGAGGGGAAAAAAGGATGTTGTGGTGGAGAAGCCAGAATCAAATTGAATAAGCATGAGATTTTTGAAGATGAAAGAGATGAAAAGAGGTGGATGGAGGTGCCAGAGAGATCCTGATGGGGGCACTGAAGGACCTGTTATGATTTAATTTCCCCAGAGTGCTCGGGTTTTGAAAGCAGAGGACACGGCACCGTCTGAAATGCTCAAAAGATCTATTTGCGAGAACTCCGTGGGATGACTGAGTTTATGGAAAAATACAAATTAAATCCATTCTGCATGGCGGCAGGTTGCTCTTGTTGGTCTTACAAACACCTACTATGGAGTGAATACAGTTTACAGAGTGAAAGTGATGCCCCGCACGCATCGCTCCTCCGAGATGCACAATTTCGCTTTCAGAAATAATGACCACCTGCATGACGAATATGCTCTGGCAGGATACAGTATGAGAGTAAACACCACAGATAAGAGACCGCATGCACAAGTTGGATGTCTGCTTCTGAGTGTGGGTTGGAAAAGGCAAAAACCAAGCTGCAGTTATGGTGATAGAAGAAGGAAATGTTAAACAAGCATGCAGTGCCCACCGTAGATGCACAGACATGCACACCTACCTTAAGTGACTGCATAAAGAGTATTTTAAGACGAGTAAATGCAGAAGCTCTGTCCAGATGATCATGTTGTGCTGTCATAGCCAGGTTCTTATTACAGTTAACAACCTGGCTGTGAGTCTTACACTGGCTAGACATGCATGCTTTATGCCACATTTCCTCTTTTTAACAGAATAGATGGTTGCAGTGTGGCTATCATCTGCACAGGTCACCCACTAAACCAATATAATACTGTTAGGGGATGAAACCTTTGAAAAAAAGAAAGAAAGAAAGAAAATCAAAGTTCTAGTAATACTGCTGGAGGCCTCGAACTCATCACCCCATCATTGCACTCATGGGACTGAGGTTGTCAGCATGCTTCAAACGAAGCAGCTGCTGAATTGTTAAGGTGCCTGAAATGTGCCTCCCCTCACACTTCTGTGATACTGGGACAATCGATATTTATGACTTTCTTTTTTTTTAAAATTACAACCCACCGAGCACAACCTCTTCACAAAAGCAGTTTCCAAGTATGCAAAAAATGGGAATGAAAGCAAGCTTTTCTTCTGTGGGTCTGTCTTAGTATGCACATCCAAGTGCATCACCTGTTGCTAAGGCACTTTTCGTGTGTGGCAAACGCTTCTGCCGTGTTTGTATCTGTAATTTGGAGGAAAGATACTCTACATGGTCTATTTATGGGAGAACACGTTCCATGTGCTGAAAACCACAAACACTGGAGGTCAAAACACTTGCTAACACAATATGCATCTACAGAATGTATATAAAAGAAGGATATAGCCATCGTGGCAACATCAATTGGCATTACATTAGAGCAGCGGTCCCCAATCTTTTTTGTGCCACGAATCGGTTTATGTATGACAATATTTTCATGGACCAGCCTTTATGGTGTCGCGGATGAATACAACAAAGTAAAACCAGTACCGGTACCAAAAAAAAAGAAAATTTATTCATAACACACGGGAAAAGACACAGGCATCGTCTGTTGTCTTCATCTCCATTATCAGTCATCATAATTTTACCATCTCTGTGCAAGTCTGCAAATTTCTTTATTAAATCATAAGATTCTTAAATCTTATGATTTATTTATATAATCAAGTCTCTCTGTGCCTGGGTCCTCGTCACAAAACATGACATCAATGTTTTGTACAGTTTAACAC